TATATACAGAATCTACACAGTAAGTACCTTGAAACACAGGCAATAGCCCACCACAGACGGGGCCCTACAGGGCCGATCTTCAAGTGGGGTTGTGGGGCAAGCGCTATAACGTATCGTGGTCTCGGCCTAAATCAGGAAAAGGAATGGGAGGTTTTCAGCCAATAAGAGCGTCTGACACTCCCTCTCGCCTCACCCTGGGTGAGAGAATTCGTTTGATGATTTTCCCCTCACAAAAAAGTACCTAGAAACACATATTACATCTTTTGTGGCAATACTACAGTATTTAGAGTTATTTAATGGTCTCCATAATAGGCGATTGTTTCGGAATAAAATTGTTACTAAGGAATAGTTTTAATAGTAAATAAATGTTTCAAAGTACGACAGTTACTGGCGTCATGAGTATTTTTTTCTGTAGCCGCTTCTGTGTGTTCTGTGCTTCTTTTTCGTCCATGGTTAATTTTCATCTTTCTTCTCTCACAAGTCGAAGTACTTATGCTAAAAGACTTTGTCTAAAGTTTATTTTTCAATCGTGGCTACATATGTACGTTTCTGGAAATTTCAGGAACATTTGAACAAAAACAAGTGGTTTCACAAGATTGCGAATTAAACTATGAATGAAAAACCAGTTTAAGCTGACAATTGAATGTGCAGAACGATCATACAAAGCGAGATTAAGATAAACTTGTTTTTATAGTTTCACGTATTGTGTACAAGTAAGTTTGTACAGGTGGGTATTGTTATTATTGACTCATTATGTCATGTGTAATTTTATTTCAAAAATTGATAATAGGACTGCCTTGATCTCGGTATGAATATAATATAGTGAAAATTGAGATACAATTAATAAAGCACGTTGTAATGCATCTGTCTGATGTCCCGTCGGATCCGAGATTAAGGGAAAATGTGTTTATACATATATTATGTTAGATATATAATTATGCTTATGCAGTATATTGATCGGGAGGCTTTGTTGTGATACCACCGTGAATATAGCAAGTTCTTTTCCTAGATAACGCATTTTCTTTTGTGTTTTAGCAATGTGCTATGTGCTAGGACGTTTTCCTGTATCATGGGTGCGATCACAAACTAACAATTTATGCCACGCCCTGAAACGAAACAACAATTTTTTGATTACATGACTAAAGAATTGTTCCTTGAGTGACTCCAACACGTAAAAAGTTACACAGGTATGGTGTAGAACCATGCTACCTAAAGGTTGAGTATTACTGGGACATTTAAACCTTTATGTAGTTTGAAATAATGTATATAATTAACAATATACTTACACTAGAAAAAACGAGTAACTAATGAATTATAATTTATCTTCTGCATCTCTGCTTCTCATTCAGTCGTATAATATTAGAGCCATCTTGCGATTTTACTCAGAATTAAGTTCATTTGAAATTTCGAACGATTATATTATAAGCGTGGGTTGATATTATCGCGTAAATGCATAGGTGACTACGGTCCAGACGTATCTCTTGCTCAAGGCTAGATGCAGTTATCTCAAAAGGTCGCATCTGATATAATTAAAAGATAAACTATGTGATGTGTCAGTCTCAATTATCAGTTATATACTTAGTAGATATACACATAAAAAGTTATTAAAATATTACATTTTAATTTATTTTTGGAATAAATGGATCATTTTTTTATTTTTTCAATTGTTACCTGCACCTACACTAGCCATTATGTCCTGTGTTATGAGTGCCTGTAAACACAACAAATCCACATAGGTACACGTCACGCCCAAATTCAAAACCACAATTTGCGGATTGCTCAAAAATCTATTCCGTGCGGGAATAAACCCGCGATAGGTACGTTGCTCAATCAATTACGGTTTTAATGATGCAACAATACTATTAAACAAGTCAAAACAGTCGCCATCTTAGCTATTCTAACAATTATAGAAAAAAGACAATTAAAAATGGCGCATGCATCTATGATGAAGATCGATGGTGTCCTGTTCACTATAACAACGATTAGCATCAAATGTTATACATATTTATATTCTTTGTACCTACCTAATACATATCTAACACCTAGTGTGAACAAATTATTGTTCCGGGTCTGGGTGTGATGTGTATGTGAATTTGTATATTTGTAAACGCACCCACGACACAGGAGAAAATCCTAGTGTGGGGGCAACGTTTTTATAAAAAAAAAGAAAAGAAAAAGTGTGTGGAAACCCAGTGTGTGCGGCAGCTATGCTAAGTGTAGGAGTAAACGTCACAGAAAACCGCCGTGAAACAACCACAGCCGAAGGTTCCAGTTACCGGAGGCCCAATTCTTCTCCTCCCCCGATCCCTAAATCCCCTATCCCCGAAAGGTTGGCAGCGCACTCGTAGCTCCTCTTATTGTTTGCTTACCATCGATTTTCCGTCTGCTCGCTTGCCGTCCTATCACATACAAAACTGACATCTTATCATACTATTAATATTATAAACTAGCAGACGATACCACGGGGGCGAAACCGCAGTCAGTAGTCAGGAAAAGCTATACTAATATTATACAGGTAGAATTTGTAAGTTTGTATAAGTATTTGATGTAAAGTTTGTTTGTAGGGGGTAATCTTTGGAACCACTGGTCGGAATGCCAAAATTATTTCACTGATAGATAGCTACAATGTTACTGAGTGCTATAGGCTATAAAACATCACGCTACGATCAAAGGAGCCGAGCAGCGGGTGAAACAGCGCGAGTGCAGCTAGTATATAATAAAGATATTTTGTAAATCGCGATTCCTTATTAGAAGCCCAGGTAGGTACCTACTTAATTGTTTTAAATAAACACAGAGGCGTACACGTAGAGTATAATTAATGTGGTCGTGCCTCACGAGTGGTCACGATGGCTCTGACAGAATGTGCCATGACGCCACGACCCCGGATATGAGCAAACAAATGAGCATCATCAAAACTACTACTTTTTGTCAATATTATCTATGAAACTGGAGGCCCAATCCTTTCCCTCCCCGAATTCCTTAACCCCCAATACCCTAATCCCCAAAATGTCGGCAACGCACTCGTAATTCTTCCGTTGTCAATGGGCGTCGCTGAATGCTTACCATCAGGTAATCCGCCTACTAGTTTGCCGTCATCATCATCATCAGCCTATAAGTGCCCACTGCTGAGCAAAGGCCTTTTCTCTTACGGAGAAGGTTAGAGCATTAATCACCACGCTTGCTCAATGCGGGTTGGCGATTTCAAACTTATAATTAGAAATTGTAAGTCCAAGTTTTCTCACGATGTTTACCTTCACCGTATGCCAGTGGTGTCTAAATAATCATAGAAAGTACATATAACTCGGAAAAAGTCACATTGGTACTTGCCAGGTTTCGAACCCACTGAGCCCGAATGAGGGCATTCGGGTTGCGGGGTAAGCGCAATGAGGCACCGCGACCTAGGCGGGAGAAGTCATATGATGATTTTCCCCTCACAAAAAAAAAACGCCCTCATGCATGAGAAGCGGGCTCGTTAACCTCCGGGCCACCACGAAATTAGTACTAGTTTGCCGTACTATCACATAAAACAGACAGACAGACAGACATGGCGAAACTATAAGGGTTCCTACTTTACTACGGATCCTAAAAAACCCTGGTAAGCAAGGGGACTGAAGTTTACCTGGATCGGGCAAAGATTATTAAGTATGGTGTTCAGCCAGGGTTGAAAGTGCAAGTTCAATAACCTACGGCGATCCCGGCTCGGAACGCTGCGGTTTACATTCAGTTTGACTCCCTCTCGCCTCACCCAGGACGACACAGTAATTTTGTGATTTTCTCCTTAAAAACTGGGGTTTTACTAAAATTCTGTCAATAGCACAAAGTCTGAAACAGTTCTCAGTGTATGAACACAAGTTCAATCCTTATCAGAGGTGGCTTATAACATCACCACATAGTAATAGTATGAATGCAAGTCACTTTCACTGTCATCTATCCTTATGTATGCTTAAATCTTTAAAACTACGTAACGGATTTGGATGCGGTTTTTTGATAGACAAAGTTATTAAAGAGGAAGATTATATGTATCATAACATCTATTAAATATTGGAGTTTAGTATCAGCATTGCTCTCTTAGTAACTGATATAGTGTGACACTTTTATTAATATGCTTCACTGTCTGGCACTTGGGGAAAAAATGACTTTTACATTTCGGAATGACTAACAAACATGATGTTTTGTTATTATGATAATGACTTTACATCCAGGAAGGTAACTCTAAGACCTTAAACTTTAAACAATACTTAATTCAATGTACAAATTCAACGAGCACAGGTTATCAGCAATTGATCGATCTGTTGTAACCTTTGACAGTAAAAATATCTTTATTAATAAAGGAGTAAGATTGATTTTCATAGACCTACTATTTGTTATATTCGTTTTAGTATATATGTATATCTATGTACAAAAATAAATATCAATTAACTTCATAACGTCTCAAACTCTTGATGATTTCTATAGCATGCTTGCGGGGTTATAACATTGGTAACCATCTGGATTGTTCTCACTGGATACAAAAGAATCTGTTATTGACTGATACTAACTTTGTCCCCAGAAGCTAGACGCCATTACAAAGATAATCCCATCACAAATCGGTATAGGAAGCTTAGAGACACCTTTGAGAGACGAAACGTTTGAAAACTATCTTTTTTATCGAGAAGGGGAATCGTCACATTATTTCTCCCATCCTGGGCGAGGGAGAGAGTGTCAGACTATTACTAAATTAAACCACCGCGGTACATTTTTGCGCTTAACTTTGTGTAGGTACAACGCAACAAACTACCTGCGAAATATTATGAAACAAAAACAATAAAACGCCTTTGAAGTACTTCAATACTTTTATTTATTTACAATAAATACATATTACAATAAAATAATTACGATCACAGAATATACTCGGCATAGAAATCTCAAATACAACTTATTTATTACAAATTATTATAATAAAATTTTCATAATTTCAATTTAAAATCGCGTTGGAAACGCGTTTCTTCATTCAATTGTTTAAAAAATAAAAAATGTTAAAATATAAATTATAGGTTAGGTATATAAATATTCGTATTAAATTCGCATTTATAGAATTTTGGTGCTTACGATCAAACTCAATATTATGTTAATACTAGCTTTCGTCCGCGGCTTCGCTAGTATGTTGATAAAAAGTAGCCTATGTCCTATTCCGGAGTGTATCTTATGCCTGTGACAAATTTCCTGAAACTAGTCGAGTATATCGTCAAATTATTACGTGAGTAAGCCGAAAACATAATAAATAATTTAGAATGTCTCACGAAAGTTATAATAAAAAGTTTGTTTGTTTGTAAACATCGTAACTTTCGCATTTATAATATTAGCAAGAGTAAGTTGAGTTAATATTAATCAGGCAACAACATCTTTTTCGTCATTTAGTACTTTAATACAAATACTGTAAGACACAAATTTGAATAAGCGCGAAATTGCGAACAGGCATATAATGTGCCTGTTCGCAAATTTTTGGAGGCAAACCTTTTCGTTTTTTACACAATGTAATTTTTTGGTGCCTGGCTATATACGCATAGCAAAAGAACACAGCGTCACATAAACTTTCTTACGCTATTTTGTAAAATGTCTACGAGCATAAATGAAGTTGTAATTTCTTTTTCTTGTAGGTACTAAATATATCTAACTTAATATCTAGTGTAGGTAATATCGAACTGCGTATAAAGTGTTGATTAATTTAGGTTAGTCGTTGTTCACTTAATATTGTATTTCCATTTCTTTACCGTGTGGTTTTCATTTTATAATTCGAAGTTTTGAATTTATACACAAATATTCCACAATAATAGTTATAGAAATCTTAAACGTATTTAATTTGTTTTACAATTTATCTTTCGATTCCTCAACAAAATTAATATAAAAATTTTAAGTCATGGCAAACGCATTCAGATTTTTCCATATTTATCCAAATTACTGTAGAAATAGGCTCTTTAATTCCCCGATGTCTTTGTCAAGTACTGCTAAAGGTAATTTCTTGAGCTAAAAACCAATGACTACTTTAGTATGTGTATGTTGTGAATCAGACAACAATTATACAAATCAGTGGTAATATTGTCACAAATACGCAATCTAAGAATTGCATAGAGCAAAAGGTCTTTTTTAGATATAAGCGATACCACCAATTATGCTTAAAATTAACTAACAGAGAGAAATTAAACAACGTTGGATTTGAAAATTAGCATGTGAAGGGAACTATAGTAATAGCCAATTAAAGGTCCCAAGGCAAATATTGTAGAAAAATATCGACACACTTACTTACTCAATGCTGGTAAAAGGATTAGGACCATAGTGAGACAAAATTAGTCATCAATAACTAATGCCATAAAGTACACTAGGAAAAAAAGCACAATTTCTACTTAGCCACACAATAAATGAAATTAAATTAGTCAGCCAAAGAGTTCAGTAGGTACACACAACACTCAAAATTTTAATAATAACTTACAGGACCAAATTTGGGTTTTGGTGTGAAATCGAATTCTTTGATTTTGCCATCATTGTTGATGATCTTGTGTCCGCCGGAGTCTTCTGATTTCTTGCCATTGATGTTCGATGCTGTGTGGTAGGCGTATTGAGCTTCACCGTAAACATGGCCGCCCTGTGGTGGCTTCAGATCACGCACGTTGGTAAAACTCAGGTGCTGTAACGAGAGAATTTTTTGCATTGAATCCATTTTCAATAGGTACTGTCTTAAACTGACACCGTTCATTGATCTCCAAGATCCAAAATACTTTTCCGGAGATTTATTATTATTTTTATGGCATCTCTTTACAAAAACGTTCCCCAGAAATTCGGTGGAATACAAATTTTGTGATTAGACTACTAAAACAAATTTGTTATTTTCGACTGTTTGCTAAAACATATTTATTTGCTTTATAATAAGTTGGGGTCATCTCTGCACAAAAACATTACCTGGACATATAGTGGAATATTAAATTGTAATTAGACTGCCTAAGCAAATTTCAGATTTCAGTCTTTAGCTGTTCGGTAAGAAATATTTATTTCCTATTTTAAATATTTGCTCTTTGTTTAGATGTTGCGTTGCATTGAGCATCTACTAGGACATATTGAGGCTACTTTTCCCTACAGTTACATCACATACTTCTTCAACTTACAGAAGCCCTTTTCGGTGATTTTGCATAGGATTTTTTTTTCTGAAAACTGCGTTTAGGTGATTCGTCGTCGAGGTACGAGGAGGAATTTTTGTAAGCATACTTCTTATCAAACGAAATTGGAAACGAAGGTTTCGCGTCTAAAAACCTCTGCTGGAAAAAATATCGATAGCTTTAATACTAGCTTTTGATAAAAGTTTAAAGTTCGGCCTTGAATAAGGTTGAATTTTCTATCTACTTATCCTCTATTTATACTTTTGGTATTGATAATCAATTTTCGTAAAGAAATTTAAATCTCGATTGCATTCTTCTTTTTCGATTTATTCTTAAAATCATAGTGCAGGGCGTCGGTTTAGCTTTAAAAATTATTATGATCACCTTATTAAAAACTAGAAAAGAAATTAATACCAACAATGCTAAAGTCCCTTATATTATTAAAAAAATATAAGTAATAAAATCGAATAAACCATTTACGGAATGCTCTTTTTTTGGAGATTTTGTGGTTTTCATGAAGATATTCGAATCAGATTTTTTAACGTTATTTTTCTTCAGTTTTTGGCTAATGCGATCTAGTCTGTCTTCTATCGCCGATGCAACATAAGCTATATAATCTGCATCATTCAATTTCGACTTTTCTTTACGTGGTTCCAAGGTCTGAAATTGAACACTACGTTTAAATAGCAATTAGACCGATTCTTTGCCCTCCTTTTATGACTTTTAGATCATTCTTTCATCGAGAGATTTTCACTTATTAACTTTTGGAGATGTAATTTCAAAGTAGTTTAATGTACTCATTCATTTAGAAGTGGGGCGAAAATTAGTGTGTAGCTTTAAAAACCAGAAGACATTTCAAAATAAAATTAAATAAAATCATACGTGTCGTTTAGACGTTCGAGATTTTCGCACTTTTTTTGGTAAACTTCTTAGAATTTTGTTATTTTTTGCAGGATCAGCCGAGTGACCAATGTTTGAAAACTGATTAGGTATCGGTATACGTGATGGAGTGAGAACTGTAGTCGAACGAAGCTGAAAATGTAACGTATTTTAGACTAAACTACCAGCTACATAAGTAAGCGTGACTCCCATTTGAATAAAGTTTTTTTTCGGCATAGATCATGCCTAATTCAGTCCTCTTACTACGACTCCCGTATTTTAGCCGACTTTCAAACAAGGAGGTTTTTCATAATTCTACTCCTAATCTAATAGTGGTATACCAATCAGTAAATAATAATCAGTAAGTAGTAAATTGTTTTCTTTTTCAACTTTATTAATATAATTTTTTAGAATCTCTGTATCTCGTAAGACAGTTATTGTGTCGATTTATACCACCAGTAGCAGCTCTAATGCCCACTATTCTTTTTCCAGCATATGCGTACTCGTTAAGACGTGTTAATAAATTGAGTAAAATATTTACTGTGATAGCCGTTGGTTTATTACTCGATTTATCTCTAAACGTTTTGTTGTTAGTCTTTTTAATTTTATTTCTTTTGTTAGTAATCTTAACATCTTCTTCTGAAAATGCTGGGGGATTTTTATAGGTATAATCCTCATTGTGCTCCTTCACAGGTGATTTCGTTAGTAATTTAATTCGATCATTGGCTACGCGGAGCTGAAATATAATATCATCGTTTTATCAGAGTAGCTCATCTCTTTGATTGTTTATGATTTTGTTAGTATCCTAACTAGTGCGCCTTACCATCAACGATTGCATCACTGCTTACCATCAGGTAGGATCGCAGTCAAGCACTAGTTTATAGAAAGTAAAAAAAAAAACAAAAAAGAAAATCCAAAAATTACATATAGGATGACAAAGTTTAAGGGTTTAAGGTATTGGCTTATTTTATGAAGGATTTTTCATCTTCTCCAGCTTTTTGATATTGGAGTAAAACATTAACATTATGACTTTAAGTTAAACAAGAACAAAATAAAAACACGTACAAAAAGTTTGTACTTTGTAATGAAAGAGCTGTGATTAACTAACCACAATGACCCAGTCTGGCTCAAGGAAAATCCTTTGTCAGAAAATATTCCCTGACTGCGTGTTCCCTTCGCCCTTAAAAGTGATAACCCTTGCTGACCATAGGCTTTCTAAATTCATCATTAATATCAAAACTATCGCACCAATGGTAATTCCTTTTACCTATACCTTTGTGATTAGGAAGGAATATTTCAAAAATGTAAATATTAAAATGGTCTTCTTCTAATCTGAATATAAGTTACTAAATTAACAAAAAAGCATTGAAAGTAGCATTCATTTACGGCAACTGGAGTCTGATCATTGGTCTGTTCAGTTTCAATATCTTGATCTGCACCGTTTAAGATATTATGTTTATTTTCTTCTGAAACATTAATTTCACGAGCGGGTTTCTCATCATCTGTGCCGCTTGTGAGAACATATTCATATTCAACATCGGGCGAGTTTGTAGAATTATATTTCTTTTTTGGCTGGAATATAAAACTGTTCTTAGGAATATAGTACAGTTTTATTAGTCCTATTTTTCTTTTTGTAATCGGGAAAAATCATCAAATAACTTCTCTCAACCTAGGTGGGTGGCAGGGAGAGTCATGCTATTACTTATAAACCATCCTGTTCCTTCTCCTGTTCCGAACCGGTCTTTAGAATATTATACGGCAGCCCCTTTGCTTAGGATATGTCGAAAAACGAGGCTTACCTGTGGGCAAGCAATCGGCGTCGCGCGTGAAAATTCACAATACCAAAAGAGGTACCTACCTACTACAAGTATGTTTGTCGCCGTTTTGTGAGTTATTAAGGATTAATGGATACTTCTGGGAATCCTTAGTATAGTCTTACTTTTTGGAATTGTAAACTTATAGTTTTGCAATGGACGGCATAGTTGTTAAATAAACAAAGATAGAACTAGCTGCCTCTTATAACAATGATGAAGTTCCTATGACAAAACGTTCCGAATGGAAAGAAATAAATAATTTTATTATGTTTTATAATAAATACATAAATATTGTAATGATAGTATAAAGTCTTATTGAGTACTTACGGGGACAGGGAGAGCTAGATTTGCTGAATTTCTTGGGTAATAATCCTGTTGCAGATTGTTGTTCAATCTTTGACCGGCTATATTTGGCTTACCAGCTCCTGATCCAGCATATTGCTGGTTATAACCTGCTGCTCCATAGTCACCGGCCTTCTGAATGACAGGAGAGATGACGGACTGGATCTGGAATAGTATGGTGAAGGGGTTATTGCTAATTTATTTACCTTTTCTTTTAAGTCTATAACTACGTTATCTTATTCTTAATTCTGCCAGCGGAAGCTAGCTAAGAAGGCAAGGCTTTCTATTATTCCCAGGCTGTAAAATTTATCTCTATGTCAAATTCCCTTCAATACTTTTTGAAAGACATTTCTTACTTCAACGGTCAAATTGTTTTATATTATTTCCGACAGACAGACAGAGACAGTTTGTTTTTGTTTACACAACGAGGATTTGAGCTAATAGAAAAATAAGTGTGGGAGAGCCATGCTTCGGCACGAAAATGTAAGCTCGACCTGAGTGATGCCACGGTCTCACAGAAAACCGGCATGAACCAACCACAGTTTAATTTTTCGCCGTGTGATTGAGGTTACCGGAAGCTCAATCTTTATCTCTCTCAATCCCTAAATCTCCGAAATCCTGATTCCCAAAGGCCGGTAATGCACTAGTAACTACTTCAGTGTTACGGGTGACATTGGGTAGCACCGATTGCTTATCATCAAGTAACCGTATTTGTTCGTTTTCCCTTTTTCACATAAAAAAGGAACTCGACCCATTATGTTTACTCTTTAAAAAAATATGTAAATGTATGTTCCTAGTTTTGATGCGATGCGATGATGTTGGCACTAAAGGAACTTACAACAGGAGAATAGTCCGTGCTTGGTGTGAAGTCAAATTCCTTGACTCTGCCATCTTCGTTTATGATTTTATGTCCAGCGCTCTGCTCCGTGGTTCTGCCATTGATGTTGGAGGCAGAATGATAGGCGTACTCAGCTTCTCCATAGACATGGCCACCATTTTCTGGCTTCAGCTCCCGTAAGCTATCGAATGAAGGAGGCTGGAAAACAAACATGGAAAGAGAGTTAATTTGTCATTACGCTTTTAACTAGGTAAGTATTTTTCTTTTATGACTTAAGCATGTATTTTGTTTGATATGTATAGGAGATATTGTTGTTTTTGCTTATCAGATCTCGTATTTTGTTGGACGTTTTGACCTTGTCGACAACTTTTGTTCATAAAGATACGTGTATCGCGCTAACACTAGGAAACTGATGGATTTCAAATTTATATTTTGTAATATTTCTTTCAAAAATATAATAAGTATTGCTTTAGGTCGTTTCTTCGTCTTTCAGCATCCACAGAAATTTTTGATTAAGAACAGTTTATAAAATTATTTTGACATAAAAAAAAAATATTTTAAGTATGATGTTTTAGAACAACCTTAACAAGTAGAGTAATGGTCTCGTTAAGAGGATTCATGTGTGATGTGATGTACCCGTAGTAGAATGACTGACGTAAGAAATGACAAGTTTCGGGATTCCTTCCCTTGGGCTGAGCACCGTCTCGTCCATTGCGCGTCGGAGATCGAGAGATGGCAGATGAGCAAGGGTATCTAGCTGTCCGGCCAAAACCAGACCCAAGCGATCAGCGTGTCGCATTCCGAGCGCCCAAAGAGCCATCAGACTATAACAGATGGAGCCAATTTGGGTCGGTTTCCCGCTGGGTTTGCCAGTCCAAGCGCAATGATGTACCGCAGCCCAGGGGCCCGAGTCTACTATTTTCAAAGTGTTGTCATTCCTACACAATTCCATTGTCATTTTGCTAAAAGTTCGTAATCTGTTAATTCAAAATGGCTGACCAGTCGCGTCCGGCGATGTCGTAATATAATTATAGTACGAGATATCTTGTAACGAATTATAAACAATAACTGCACATTAATATTCTAAACTACACATTGAATAAAGGAACTGACATTTTTTTGTTAAATTACCGCATTATGTCAAGTATTCATTTATCATTATGTACGTGATTACCGTTCTAAATAATTATTTCAATGAAGTGGCATTGGGGGATCAATGATGCTATCGTGATAAGTAGATTAACAAAACTTGTCAAAATCAACAATTCTGCAACCAATGATCTACTATTCTGACACTATTGTAATAGCAGACTCGAGGCCCAGTCCGGAGCGAGGGATAGAACGGGTTGGTTTTTAGTCAGTAACATTTTAGACTGTGACTATGAGCAGGGAAACCTTATTGTACGATTATATAGCATACCACAGAAACAATTCTTGGTACAGAACGGATCATCGTGAATGGTGATGAGATTAATACTAAGATGCACTTACCGTACATAGACATCCCAACATGTTAAGATCTTATCATAGATAGTATGTCTTTACTATGTAATTGATGACTGATGTTTTAGTAATATAAGGCAAGAATTATATCTTTTAGCTATGTAGGAGCTCGATTTATGTTGTGGTTTCTGAATCATTGTCAATAATTAGTCATGAGTACCTATACACACATTTGTATATCAAGTACTCGGTGACATCTATTCTTGTTGAATGTATTTATATACATATATGTATTACCTATATAGGTAAATAGTGGTAATTTATAGCTGCTAACAGGAAATGTCAAAGGTTTATAATAATAACGTTAGTTATGTATGAATTTTGTTCCTAATTGCACTTAATACTTGGCAATCAACGCGTTTGATAGTTTACATGTCTTAAGATATTTTTATTTTAGACACGACTCGGATTTTTTAACCTCGCAACTTAAGTAATGTAGTTGCAAGTCAGAACCTACAGTAGTGGCATACGAAGCTTGACGCGGCGTGGAAGCTTATTAAAATTTTATTATATAGAGAAACATTGGCCTGCACAATTTTTCGTGAGAAATTATTGAAAAAGTTCAGTGATAGATCATCCCCTTTTTTGTATATCTAATTTTTACTTTTTAGGGGAAATATAGAAATGGACGTAAAAAACGCATTACGAGTATTATCAGTTTTTATCTATAAATTGGTAAGTTACGTTAATTATTATGTTTTCGGCTTACTCACGTAATAATTTGACGAGATACTCGACTAGTATCAGCGCGACAGTCGCGTGTCGCGGAAAGCTATTATGAATATGGGCGTCTAGCATGGCTGGAAACTAGTCGAATTTCGTCAAATTATTACGTGAGTAATCCGAAACCTAACGAATAATTAATTAAAAATGTCTCACGAAAGTTATAATAAAAATATGGTAAGTTACGTGTTTTCTACGATACAAAGATGTTGTTTGCAATTATTAAACTTACGTAATCAGGGTTTGCCTGTAATCAAATATTTTACGATGATTTATTTCATTTAAGACGTAACACAAGCCATGGACTGTGAAGTGTTCAAAGAAAAAAGGGGACATAAAGGAGGTTTAAAAAAAAAGCTTAGGAAAATGTTCTGTAAACGTACCATCCATCCAGCTTGCTTCCCAAGATTGCTATTTAATCTGTAAATAAAAAAAAATCATTAACAAGATTGTAAAAGAGAAAGTCTTTACATCTCTTCTTTTCGCCCTCAGTCAGCTTAAATGGCTTCTTAACCGTAAAATGAGATCCCTCAGAATCATCTGCATGCTTTTCACTTTCTTAAATGATCCTAGTGCTTCTGAATATTTTATGTCTATCTTACAGGTTTTGAGCGACTTTTATAGTTTTAGCGGAAATCTACTTTTAGAGATCGGTATCTCTCGCCTTGTACCGTTACTATACAGAACGATCTCTGTTATTATCAGATATGGAAGATGATATAAAAAATAATACAATCATATTGACGTGAGTCCAAAACATTTTGGCACGTAAATTCACTTAAGTACATTACCTATCTAGATAATAATGTGGATACCTACATAATTAAGGGTTTTCCCTAACAAACTTATCGTTCATCATTTTAGAACAAAACAATTTGTTGCCTGTACGTGATTTTTATAACCGTGATATCATTATGGCAATTTGGCATCCTGCCCGTGGTGTTTTACGAATAATAAGCACGCTGGTTATTTTTAAACCTTAATTAGGGTTCTATGGGATAAATAAGCCAACATGTCCAGATTACACCTCTCTACGAAGGTTGAGGAGGTCGTGGAGTACGTGCGCGTCAAGACCAACTGGACCTTGTCGAAAGGTTGAAGCCGCGTCACAATACGAACTTCAAGTCGTTCATGGTTCACACCATCTCGAGAAGTTCCTCAAGGAAGAGTTCTGGTCGATGGGTGTCGTGTATCGGCGGTTTCGTGGCCGCCTACACGACACTAGTCAGCGAAACATGTCGCCGACACTTCATGTGCAATCATATTTTTAATATAGTGCTTTTAGTTATTATGTAATATTTTATATGAAACTAGTCGACCCAGCCACGCTGTTACTGTGACTAAGGTATATAATATTGCGACTATAAATTGAGATGTTAACTATCCTATCTTTCAAGTTGGATCAAAATGCACACGGAATGCAAATCAAATTTAAAATCGGTTTCGTAGTTTAGGAGTCCATCGCGAACAAACATGTGACACGGAATTTTTATATAGGACATATGTTTATATGGGCTTTCGATGTCTGAAATAAATGAATAATAAAAAAAATAGTGGATAAACTCAAGCAACTTTATATTATGAAGTTATCAAGTGGTTACTCTAAGAAATAAAACTTCTTTTGATTCACATCAGCATATTTGGAAATGTATTAAATTTTCATTCCACATATTTGTTTTTTATTTATAAAATCCACGTTGTCCATAATTCGTTATACAAGTAATTGGACAAAACATAAATTAAAAATGAAATATTAAATTTTTTTTTTTTTTTTGGAAGGTCACACAATTTGAAATTTCATACGGCCTGTAATGTTTACCATGTTTAAATAGAAAAATATTTTTAACTACTCATGCTTCATTTCATAACCTATTCAAATATTATTATCATATTTTTTCAAAACATAGGATGACCTAAGCAATCCGCTGATATGTATCACTACTAACTTTTCTTTAAAAACGTCTAAAAGTCATGTAATACAAAATAATACTTACACTCAATATTACCATGTAAAGAAATGACAAACAATATAATTAATAGAAACTCTAAAAACATATAAATTTATACCAACATACATATATTACAAGCAAAACTTACACATCGTCTTCATTATAACTAGCCTGAATTTCATCATATGGTTGTCCTCTGTTAAAAAAGGTGTTGATTGATATTAAAACTTATCGCAACTAAATAGAACTGAATGTCACATTTAAGCGTTACTCTAACAAAATTTTTCACCCGCTGTTGAAGCGTGCTGTTTTATAGCCTATATATAGCCTGCCTCGATAAATGGACCAATGAACACAAAAACTATTTTGTCAATTGTAATCAGTAGTTCCGAAGATTAGCGCGTTCAAACAACTAAACATTTTTTAGTTCATAAGTAACCAACCAAAAAGTGAAGGCTAGTTAGTATCCCGCAAACCTCTAATTAGTCCATTGTTTTTTAGATTTTGGACCATAAAAGTATTTATGATAAAGTTGGTTAACGAATACTTACATTTTTTGCACCTGCTCCCAATTGCCAGCCCTTGCTGCTTTTATGACTTCTTCATATTCCGGTGCTTGTCCTGAAGTAAAATATAAAGCAATATTATTATTGGAGTTGTCACATAAAATTAGTATCTATTACCAGGCTACTAGAGCCGACCCTATTTAAAGTTAGGTCGTCCTAATTAGAAAAAAGTCGATCACGCTTTTGTTTCACGTTTTCGTTCATTTTGGCACCCTGTGTAGTGTTTTAAATATAAAAACTAACTTAATGGTTTAGACCTAGACTTATAACAACCTTGTTTTGTAATAAAGCTGTTAAGAATTATTTGCAAGACTTGTTGATTGTAGTTAAAAAACTAGATACTAGAAAATACCTTCCATTGAACTTGAATATACTTACTTATTTAAATCAGAATTATCATAGTTATCTGATATTAGAATTTTGAGATTATTTTCGCACTGTTTTGCTTGCAAGGCTAGATTTACCAGTGTTATCAATAGTCATCAGTAATAATATTTTAGCTTTAAAGTACTAACTAAATGGTTGTATAAACACAACATACGGAACCATGACGTTTGTTGAGATGATATTCCGAATCACAATCAATTGACACATTTTTTTTCTCACCAGGATTCTTACATTTGAAAATATTTACACACAAATTACAACCAAGAAAACGTAGAATAGAGAGCCTACTGCAACTATGAACTGCAACTGATAATGTCCAGCTGGAGTTGTGGGTGCAAGCGTTATAAAGAAAAAAACCAAAAGTAACTTCCCTAGCATAGAAAAAGGAGGATTCTCTGACTGAGCCAGGCAGTAAATACCATTTGGTTTTTTTTATTTAACGGGACAAGCTCGCCGCATCCTCCCAAAACCGCTGCAACTCGTGTAAGCCAGGATCAGGAAAATACCGGAACACTAAAGTCCGGCGCGTCCCAGGGACATAAATGATTTAGGAATCTTAAAAAACAAAAAAGCTTTACTACCATCGGTAAATTAAATGCAGGAGACAGAATGACTTAGGCCTTTTTTATGGAATATGAGGCAAACGAGCAGACGCATCACCTGATGGTAAGCGATCAGAGCCGCCCATGGACACCTGCAACATCTGAGGAGTCACAGGTGCGTTGCCGTTGCCTTAAATGCGCAGAAGAGACGGTACAACTGGGAGAAGTCCAGTCACCAAATAGTCCGTGGTGGTTGATGACCATTTGGTTTAGGTATTGGCCACATTTATTTTATCGGTTAATTTTCGCTCAGACTTTACCACACTTGAATTATGGGATTTTGTACGGGGTGTTTAGGAATTGTTTTATTCGAACCAACAGTTCCGGAGATTAGCGCTTTCGAACAAACAAATAAACGGCAACTACAGCTTTATAATATTAGTATATAGGTAGATAAAAAAAAATATCAAAAATATATAAAAACATAAATCCCTTTGAAACTTATTTATAAGGTAAGTACTAACAAGGTACTTTAACTCTTTATTGTTGTCAGAATAATAACAAAATAACATTAACATATTTTCAGACGTCAAAACATGTACCTATTTGCATTTGATTAATCACCGATTTGCCAATGTTGCACAGATATTTTGTATATTTTAATAATTTTGACCTTTGAATGAAATGGCTCATCTACGCTTTATATTCATCCATATATGCTACGTAATATTAACATAACAGAATCAACTAATAATTGAAAGTTACGAAATTATATTTATAAATGTTTTAGAAATACTATTATTAAACTAAGAAATACTTTACATTTAATACATAGTGAAACTGAATAATTTGATGTTATTTATAATATACTATTTTTTGCCTGCAGCTTCGCCCGCGTGGTATGCTAATAAAAAGGCTATCACCTATCTTCGTACTAAATTTCAACCAAATCAATGCAGCCGTTTTTGCGTGAAACAATAACAAACATACATCCATACATTATCACAAACTTTAACATTTATAATATTAAGGAGAATAGGATATACATATATTTATTTTGAGTTGTCGAGCTAACCATTTCACCCTTTCAATAGTAGTTATTCACTTTTTACTATTACAATACGTTTAACATACTAGGCTGTACTTTCTTTCTTTTTTTGGCCCAAGGTTGCAAATCCTCATGGAGCCTTTGCCTGGGGAGATAAAGGGGACTGTTAGACTTTTACTGACTATAAACCACCCTGGTCTCTCACGTGGGCGTGAGGATGCGGGAATCAGGGCAGGGTAACAGCCATGGCTGGCTGCATTTAACATACAAGGCACATCATTTAAATATTACTTAAATAAAATGAACATCTACAGGCAAAATCTTTTGATGATACACAGTTGATAAGTGTTTCCTTAAAATGTTTTTATATTATTTATCTGTTAGGTTTCCTTAAGATGGTTAAGAGACCCTCGTTAGGGAAAACCAGCGACTATTTCAATAAGTATATTATTATATGATAATATTTTGGAATGGGTACCTAAGCATGATATGAATATTTGCATAAGATGTTGAGACACGCAAATAAATAACATTACACTATATTTTTTGTCTAGGGAAATTGCTAAGTTCTTGCGAGCTCTCGATGTTGATGATGACTTTTTTTTTAAATCTCTGAACTATCAAAATTTGCCAATCTTCCAACCGGCAGGAGAAGGAACAGGGTGTTTTAGTCAGTAAGAGTCTGACACTTCCTCTCGCCCCGCCCAGAACGAGAGAAGAATTTTAAGAAGATTTTGTTCCTCAAGACGGCTCCGTTTAGTTTTGTTTTCTTACTAATTCCATGTAAGTATTTACGACTGGCCGGATTCAAAATAATTCTTAGTTCGAAATTCGAACCGAAATTCGAAATATTCAATTCGAAATATTCTTTATATATTTTCTATTCCGTGGGTTTAAATAAATATTACTATAGGCATTACTTTATTATTGCGAAGTAGGTTTGTTGTTGTAGGTAATTCATAAAATAGTTCCGAATAATTAGGTAAGTAACCTCATTTAACAATTCTTTTTGATTGCAAGATCAATGGAAACAATTGGTGGATTGTGTTCAGTTTTCATATTATGTTACGTTTCCAATTATACCTGTTTTAAAACGTTATTGTTCGGGGTACATCTGTTCTTGTGTTTCCAAATACACAGTATTGTTACCGAACTACACTTTGCGACTAAAGAATCGAACAATACATATACATAATAATATGTGCAAGTGCAATGTTGTACCACGGCTTCGGCACGTAGCAGGATGATGAACGGGTTGGTTCGAAATCAGTAAAAGTCTGATATTCATACAGTACTAATTTAATATTATGACTTAAAAAATATTTAGATTTATCGATTTTATTCATTTTTGTTGATAAAACAGTTTTTTTAAATATTTTATAACATTTTCAATTTTGTTAAGAGCTGAGTAACGTATTTTATTTGACGCTTGCTGCAATAAATCACAATGTCTTATCCTGTATTCATTTAATTTTTATAGAGGTGGTAGTGCAAAGAGAGGAAATTTCATAGAAAACAAAATTTATTATTTATATGAAACTATCATATAAATAAAGCTACATTAACCTGATGCATCACAGAATACCGACGCTAACGTGAAACAACAATTACGATGTGTTTTGCCGTGTGAGTGAGGTTACCGGAGGCTCAATCCATCTCCTCTTATTCTTAATCCCCAAATTCCCTATCTTAAAATTGCTAACCACCAACAAAAAGCCAGCAATGCACGTATGCAAACTTAGTGTTGCGAGTGTCGACGTAAAAAAGTTTCAATATTCGTTTTTCAAATGTTATAGAGTGTTAGTATACTTAGATGTCAACAAGACTCCATTTTACGCCAGATCGGTAAATATTACATGACAACCTATGTAAAAATCATATTTTAAACTTTCGTTAATATTAAAAATAATTAACAAATTTACTTAAAATCACGTTTTAGCAGGAAAATCTTACAAAAACACCAATATTCAGAATTCATGGTCGAATTATACCAGGAAAATTATCTAAGGATCACTTTAAGGTTTTTAAAAACATAGTTTATACACAGATAACATACCCTATAATATGTTTAGTAATGTTTATAAATATTATCAAACATAGTCATTTACTGTACGAAATGAATTATCGTATCGGTAAGTATTTGTCACACAATGTTAGAAAGTAAGAAGGTTATGTATATACAACTTAGAAAATCACATTCACACATCCACGCATGAAAAGCTGCTCAATCTCCAAGCCCCCATAGGCATGCAATATACCTATATAAGTATCTGTATAGGTACATAATAAAATGTTTCAAAAAAGTGTTGGTAAGTGCATAAGCGAATAACTCAAAAATGACTGGACCAATTTTGTCAATTATTTTTTATTGTTTCTGTTTTCAGTTTCAATTGTCAGGAAAAGGAAAGATTAGATAAATGAAATGAATGGACAGATAAATGATTTTTTTTAAAGTATAAGTATTATTAGCCATGCTTCTGCACGAATGAGTCGACTTGGCTCTTACTTCCTCAATCCCAAAATTCCAAATACCTATACCATATAACCTAATCCCCAAAATTTGTACTTATTAAATATTCAAATCAGAATTCAATTTAAATTAATAATGCAAGTAATTAATAATTTCAACGTTATTGAACTTGTTAACATGACCTATGTTGTTGGCCATGACACAACTAAGTCTGCAAAACGTATGATTCTATTATAATTAACCTGAGAGTTGGTTTTATTAATTAATTTGACCCCTAATATTAATAGCATGAACTTTTTGAACGAATACAGTGTGCTCTAGACGAAATAATAAACATGGATATACAGGAAAAATATCGGTATTATCTATGTATTATATTGTTGTTAATTTTCCAATATTATGATCGTATGTTCAGTTATCTTAATAAATAAACCATTTGACCATTTGATGCCGGGATAGAACAATTTCCACCATCCCAACTCTATAAGTAACTTTACCAACACCGGTGGTTGACTTAGGAAGTGGTGATTTCCTTAGAGATAATTAAGAAAGTTGGATTATTCGATAACGATAAAAAACAAGAATCACACTTTAGCGTTTAAAAAAAGATTTTATAACATCTTTTTTTGCTAAAAGGAAATTGTGGACTGGGTCCTCCCGCTCTAGTATATTAGATTCCTACAAGTCCGGAATAGCTACTAAGGAAGGAATAGCGACTAGCAAACTTAAATAAAAAGTTCTAAAAACCTAGAAGGTGTATAAATATACGTAGCCGTTACATGTAGGTACCGAATACTGTTAAATTAATTATTATAAATAAGCCAACAATAATAATAAGAAACACCGAAACAAATGTTTTATGCTGTTTTCGTAAGGTAGATGAGAGTTATCATAATGAAAAGATTTATTAGCCATCGTGTTTGACTGACTGTGACGACTTTTAATTGAAAAACAATATATAATCAATTCTCAACAAAGAATTACACGAAAGATGACTGAAGGAATTATTCCGATTTTCTTTTTATTAATTGGGATCTATAATACTTATACAGATTAGTTTAGGTTTCACATAGAAAATGCCTGTTTTTTCATAATTTAAATAAATTCGTTTGTTATTATTATAGCTGAGCTATTTTAGAGCATACAGAATGATAAATTGTAAAAAGAAAAAGCACAATTGCTACTAGTAATACGTATCCTTACGACATTCAGACATCATTTTCCCGCACGAAAAAGTATAAAATTCCTTAATTCTCTTCCCATTATTGTTTTAAATACTTTAAAGCTGTTCGAATTTTAAAAAAGTACATTCATATTTTTTTTGTATATATACTCGTAAAATACTTTATAAAATTGTTCGAAATTCAAAAAATAAGACGTCAAAATTTACGTTTATAAAAAAACACGTGACATAGAATTCATTTGTTTTTTAGTCCTTTTTTGAAACTATTAAAGATAAAAGATGTCGCTTACCTTGGACGGTGGTAATAACAATCAATAGAATTAAAGTTGAAACGATTTTTGCCATTTTGTATGAATATGTAACTACTAAACTACTTATTAACTTGTTTCATGTAAACACGCGCGATCTCTGTGACTTCTCGCGTCTTAATGCGGGTGTAAGACCCGTCAAGTCTTAAATAATGAGTATGTTCTGCGTATAGGTACTTTAGTTACCTACATGTGTTTACGTTGTATAAGGATAATAAATAGGGGTTCTAATTTTGCTAAATACATTCTTGACGAATATGAATCTTGTCATAATATAACGCTCTCATATTATTGACGGAAGGTACAGATTAGCTAAACCGGGGTTGCAGATGCAGTAGAAGGAACGGGCTGGTTATTAGTCAGTAAGAGTCTGAAATTCTCGCTTTACCCTGGACGAGAGAAGGCGCTTAATGATTTTTCTTTCTAAAAAAACTCAATAATGTACCGGGTTTGGAGCTTCGATCTATTTTTTATTAGAATTAATAAATTTAAATTTAAATTATGATGTATTTATTATTCTGTTAATAAAATTGCATTTATCGTTTTTTTGTCTTATTATTGTTTTCTAAGTATGTGTGAAAACGTGTTTTTAATAATGTGATTTGTATGAGTGCTAACGTTGTAAGTCGATCATTAGATAATTTTCATTCTTTATTATATGTATTTATTCTTATCAAAATCTTTTGATAATTTCAACAATTGAGTTATTCATTTAAAAGATATTCTTTTCCTAATTTAATTAAAATATTGGTGTTTGATTTATGTGTTAATAATCTATGTTTTATATTGATTTCCATTTGAATAAGATATTAAAGTGGAGTGTATGTATATATGTATAAAGTATACAGACAATAAATGCGTGCTTTAGAAGTTTTCCAAAAATAGCAATATTTTTTTTTATATTTAGCTGTCTTTTTTAATAATATAGAGAACAGAGAACACTATAACTCGCACACTTGAAATCCAAAATATTTCTCATCTATCAGTTCATATACAAACAGTCTGGAAGCGGAATCTGAACTAATTTATTTAGTTTTCTTCCTAACTTTAATTCTATTCGTACTTCAGTTGAAAACAAAAAAATAATCGATTTTTCTGATCTTTCGGGAACCTAGCCAAGCCTTTGCACCTTTCACTGATCATATTTATACCGAAAATAAATTATTTCCGTAATTATCATCTATCAATGTAAAATTTTTGAATAGTACTATATATTTTGACAAATACTAAATTTATTGAAGAACGTCTACGCTCTACTAGTTTCAAGTTACGACGGGACTCTTGTTCGTGAGCAGAACCGCGTCGCGTCGGTCCAGCGTCGCACAGCCGAAGCGTCTGTCGGACGCGGAGTAATAAGCCATTATTTAAAACAAATCTGTCAATGTCTGTACATAATTTAACATTTCTATATTTATAGACATTTGTCACCGTTTCTAAGTATAAAATACAAATACAAACAGTTCATGTGACAAGCAAGGATGCCTCAGGGTCCCTTCCTAGTAAACCTTGTGTAACTCGCTAGACCAGTCGACAAGGGTCGACTTCGGTATCAATGAACCATGGAGTATGATATGTATGCTATTTTTAATTAACATAATGTGTATATACCACGTCCTTTTTCCTTTTGGTGTACCTATTTTCTGTACCTGCCTAACTTGGATATCTATTTCTATCCGAAAGGAGAATGCAAAATCTTGCAAATATATCTACCGGTAAAAACTTTGTATATGTGAGTTTCGTATCGTCTGTCAAATAAAAAAACACGTGTGCGGTTCGCTTATTTGTTACATTATATTTCATTTACTTTTTCAACAAATATCATATCATTTGCATAAAAACATAACTTATATAATGACGCTTCAGCACAATTAAGATTTTTCTGTTAAACTTTACACAACAGAATCCAGATAAATGTAACTTTTCTTTGCCATTCATTTTATTAAAGCGCAATCTAAGTCCACTCTTGTACAAAATCTAGCCTTTTCCTTTAATGCAAATTTATTTTGATATTTTGTTTTGTTTCTTTTTGTTAGGAGATTCATATATTTGTCATACAATTCTAAATCGGTCAAGTAGTTTTTGAGTTAATGCGACCTATTTTTCTGCAGTAGTAAACATTTTGCATTTATGGTCTTGTATGGTTTTTAAGTAGTAATATAATATTATTATCATTTTGGCCAGTAGGTATTGTGTGGCAGACTACTACCCATGCTAGTGTATTTGTGTTTGGTTGATGTTTTAAAAAAAGAAACAAATATTCAAAATTAGAACGATTTTAAAATCCGTTCGAATTGATTAACCTTATTTTTTTAAAGTTCACGTCTTGCATGTTTGTTTTATTTTTTATTTTTCACTTTTGATACGGGACAATAAATAGGCAATTAGGCACCTATATTAAAATTTTCTTTTTTTTCTATCAATTAAAATCCGATAAGCCTTTTAATAAAAATGTCGTAAATAATTCTATGACATTAACTTAATTTAAATTGGACTATTTGAAGCGTGCGCGATTCACCTTGCATTGAGTGCTGCACGACTTGAGGTCATTGACATTACCAGAGCCTAAAAACTTTATTACCTAGTAAACAAAGATATTAATCAAGTATTCTACCTTTCTGGAATACTAAATTCAATATAAAGTATAGTTAGATTATTATGAAGTAATTGACTGTGTCGTATGCATATTTTCCTTAATTTAATTATGATTTATCATCGATTATAGGATCATACTTTAAGTAATATAATTCAATTATTCATATAATTATGCTTCGCCACAAGTGATCAAGTGATTTTGTGATAGGACAGCAAACGACTGTATGGATTACCAGATGGTAAGTAAAAAGCGCCGCCCATGGACACCCGCAAAAACAGAGGAGTTACGAATACTTTGCCAATCTTTTGGGGAGATTTAGGAATTGGGGATGGAGAAAGATTGGGAATCCATTAACCTCACTCACACAGCGAAACATGACTTGGGGTTGTTTCACGCCGGTTTTCAGCGAGGCCGTGGTATCACTCCGGTTAAGCCGACCCATTCGTGCCGAAGCATGGCTCTCCCACACTTACGTATCTAAAGGTCAACTATTTCTGTCTCGTCATTGCTTACGAGGCTAATTATTTATAGGAAGGGACAATAGGCCTATTTCGTCATAGTTATATTATTATAAGAATAAGGGATTCGCGTCAATACCCATATTATGTTTCTGTCTGGGATATTTTGGTAAGTATTCCCAAAATAATTTGATTCCATTTCATAGTAGGTATCGATTGGTTTTGCCTTCGTGCTTCGAAGTTTCTCGATTTGGAAATTTGATGATGACGAGTCCGTCTGATGGAGTTATGGCTTTCCTTGCTAATAGGACCGGATGAAGTTATCGAAAGTATAAATAAACATAAATTTTCAGGACATTTTTGAATTCCTTTTTTTTTTCTCTCCTTAAATAGTATCATTTGATTTATTTCGTTGCTGGATCCAAGACAATTATAGAGCGTGACAGAGCGCCGAACTTCAGTGTTTCGGTGTTTTCATGACTGTACATATCTACTGTAGATCCTGGCTTACAGGAGTTCCAGTGCTTCTTAAAGGCAGTGGCGGGATGGCCCTATTAAAAAAATTGTAGATAGATACGAACACAGAACAGTTCCGTGGATACGAAGATCATTATCAATTTTGACCCTTTCGTTTAGTTATTAGCAAAAAGTCAATGTTTGAAAACTTTGCATTGTTAAATTTCGTAGGCGTGATATATTGTACGAAATTTATAAGACCTCATAACTAAGATCCCGGGTGCTTTTTTCAGGTGAGTAGGTGAATGTGAACATCATAGTGTATATTATTATGTCTTTTTCTCATCTAAGAACAGAATCAAGCATTTTTACTCGTGAGTATTGAAAGAACTTGATATTTTGATCCATTTAGAACTTATACAAACAAATTTGGTATTAACAAGCTTTTTTAATTATTACCAACTGTAGCATTTTTGAATTGAGAGCTTCATCTTAAGACAGGGTTTATATTTACCCTAAACAATTTAATGGCTTAGGGATTGTAGCAAAGAACTGAAAATGTGAAAAATGATGCTATTCTTTGTTTTTGGTTTGTTTTAGATTAGACATGCACACTCTTTAACTATGGGAAAGCCATGCTTCGGCACGAATGGGTCGGCTCGACCGGAGTGATACCAAGACCTTTCACGACCCGCCGTGAAACAAACCACAGTGTGTCTTTTGCAAATACCCACAAAATAGAACGCAAACAGAAAAAAAATTGTACTGGCTGCAACGTTACCATTAAAACTATCACTCAAAATAATACTTAGTTGTATAAAGTATTGAAATAAATTTCTTTTTTTTTCTTTTCTTTTTTTAAAAAACGTAGCCCCACATTAGGATTTTCTCCTGTGTCGTGGGTGCGGTTACAAACACACAATTTCACATACACATGACACCCAGACCCGGAACAACAATTTGTGGATCACACAAAGAGTTCTTCCGTGCGGGAATCGAAACCGCGACACGTTGCACGGCAGCCAGTTGCCCAGCCACCGCACCAATCGTGCAGTCAATATAAATAATATAAGTATACGGGAGAAATTAAAACTACAATTAGGTAATATTTTTCTCTATTTATAACACTCCAATCTTTACAAATTTAGACGTCTTTACATACATCATATAATCATATCTATCATTACATTACATTGAAAAAAATAGTTAATTAGTAATAGTGAATTCTTTTTTCTGCCCATTAATGTCCTGGTACACAGTGGTGTGAATTTTCCCATCTTGTGAGACAGATTTCACACCAGCCGCTATATAGTTTTTGGGCCCTGGTTTTATATTAAGTTGTTGGTCTTTCATGATGTTCTGAAAATTCTGACAAACAAAATTGATACTTTAATCGCTGCCGAGTAAAGTTGAAATTTCTTTGTATACTAAATTAATTGAATATAAATTCTAAGGAATAAATACCTCTACTTATTATTATGGAAAACATTCAAACAAGATGTACTACAATTATTTATAGCGGAAATCTTTAAGGCACTTTAATACTTACAGACCACCATTTCGGAAGTGTATAATCATAATTTCCCCTGAAAATAAAATAAATAAAAGTTAGAAATTTTAATTCAA